CATATCCGGTACAGGCAACCTCACCTTGGCATTCCATACTGTGGACTGGTTTTTATCGTGACAAAACCTGGCTCGATCCATACTATTCTGGTGCTTGGATTTGCCAGTGGGTGATGTGAACTGATTCTGCCTGATCCATGCCAAATGTATGCCAGTGGGTAACTTTCCATGGCCTATTCTGGGCTGTTTCCATTCATGCTTCTTGTGCTTACCTGCAGGGTCTGTGTTCTGCCAAAGGAGTTGCCCAGGCTCATCCATCAGAATCTCTCTCAATGCCAGATTTCACGCATGCCAGGGGGTCCATGAGCCAGCCCTACTCAGTTCACCTCCTGTCATAGCAGAAACAGTGGCTTTTCCTGACTAGCCTTTGACCCAAGCTGGTTCTGGTTGGATGTTTCAGCCCAGCCACAGCTGTCCATACCCACATATGGCTCACACATGGCTCACTAGGGGTTGAGACCTAGCCTAGTCCATCACACATCTACCTGGTCCTCCAGGACACCAGACAGTGTTGGGTCTGGCCCAACCTGGTGCATCCAGTCCCAGTCCACACTTGTGACAAGGGAGATTTCAACTGTTTCCTGATCAGAATGCAGCCCCCATTCCAGTCCACGTGCTCCTTGGTGGTAACCTTAATCCAGTTAGGGTGTTCCCTTAGTTCCCCAACTGGGCCTATTCCCAACCATGGGTCATGTGCATGCCAGTGGTTGCTCTGACTCAGCCCCTCACTTGTACCAGCCTCTGCCTTGGACACTGTGGCTTAGCGTCCTTTACTTATGCAGACCAGTAAGTGCAAGAGCCTAGCTCGGCATGACCTGTGCTCCATCCTGGTTTCCAGTTTTGCTAGTGGGCTAAGGCTTGCTCAGTCCTGCCGGGTACATCCCATTCCATTATGAACCCACACATTAGCCAGCCATTGAAGCTCCCTTGCCCAGCTTGTCCGACCCCTAGGTCTGGACCACATGTTCACCAGCAGGAGCTATAACCCGCCAGGGGAGTTTCCCAAGTTCCTCCACTTGATCCACTCGCAAACCCAGTTCTCATACATGCCAATGGTTTTTAGGCCAGTGCCCGGAAAAGTCTGGCCTTCCATTTGGCCTTGTATGAGTTGGTGAACGTTGCAGCCCGGCCCACCCCGCACCCTAATCAGGATGCACATTCAGGTGCTGTTGCCTTGACTAGTCCAGACTGCTGTGGGTTCCTTTACCTGTGATTGATGGCAGGCTCCTTGTTCACCCTGAGCTTATTCCATCACCTCCGCAACTCTTGAGCTAGCCAGTGGGGCTAGAATTTCCACAGGGCTTGGCCCACACAGCCCCCACAGAATCTACCCCTGGATATGGCTCTCGAGTGCTAGTTAATGTAATGGCCCTGACCAAAGTGACCATTCTCCTGATCCATCATCATGTCAGGTAACAGGATATGATTCTGCTGGACAAGCCCCAAGCCATAGCTTTTGCACGGACTGGTATTTGGTGGTCAGCATTGCTAAGTGATAACACGTTCTTCAAAGGAAGAGTTACTGTCATTGGGAATCTTTAGCATATATTCACCTCAGAGAAACACATTGGGTTCAACGTGGAGCTACATAAGCAGCAATTCAAAACACCAAAATTCCAGAGCTCCCCTGCCGAGCGGCCAGCAAGCAAAGCCTGGCGCCAAATGGTGCACTGGCCGCCCTGGCCCAGCTCACCACGTGCACGTGGTGGCTGGCTTGTGGGATCCAGGCATGAGACACCCTGTCCCAGGACCCACCCGCAGCTGAGAGGCTGCAGGAAGTTTAAACTCCCAAGCCCAAAGTCGCATCCCACCCCAATCCCGTCCACCACCCAATGAGAGCAGCAGGTGGGCCTGCTTAGCCCTGCTCCGGAAACCTCCCCCCTTGGTCAGTGTACTCACCCCGAAGGGAGCAGCCCCAGAGCCCAGGCAGGCCTGGGCCCAGCTCACCACGTGCACGTGGTGGCTGGCTTGTGGGATCCAGGCATGAGATGCCCTGTCCCAGGACCCATGAATGTGATTCTTGATTGTGGCTCCCAATACCAGTTTGCTGCTAGTGCAGACCCTGGGAGGCAGAGATGATGATTCACACAGCTGGATCACTGCCACCCATGTGGGAGAGCTAGACTGAGGGCTGACGTCTAGCTCCTGGCTCTGACTTAGTTCAGCCTACTCCATAGTGGGCATTTGGACACCTCTCAGCCACTGCTCACCCTTCCTCATATCTCCTCACTCCCACTCAAAGTTATACCCAAAGATTCTTAAACAGGCCCTGCATTGTTGTTTGTTCTTCACTCAACTTAGTTCCTTTCCCATGACATATTCTCTATTCCATCTCAACTATGCAAATCCTATCTACTATACCATTTCTGATTCAGCCTAAAATAGCCCCTCCACAGTGTGGTCTAATGGCCCCAGCTTATCTTTGCATGACCTTAGCAATGCACAATCACAAAGAAGCTCTCATTTCATCCTCAGAACATCTCTGCAAGGTAGGCAAAGAAGGCGTGGTCTTATTTCTCCCTTGTGTCAACCTGAGCCTTAAACTGCAATTTCTCTCCACACCATATCCCCTGCCAGTGAGCGAAGGCACAAGGAAAAGAATTGCTAGTATTCTTCTCATTGGGGTCAGGGGATTAACCGATGTTTAAAATTAATAAAACTATATAATTAAAAAACAAAAAATAAATAGACAATACAATAATAAATAACTTAATAAATGATTATTTAATAAGAGGCATGTCGAGGAAAGAAGAGACACTGTTTGATGATCTCTACATTGTTCCCATGCCAGGCAAGATGGAATAAGGCATGTTACAGGCTATGTGTCGGAGGAGGGAGAAGATGGGGCTGGAGAGGTTAAGACAGCAGCCTTCACAAACAGCAGACAGGTATATGATGCTTTTCCTGGAATGCATGCTACACACTGCTAACATTTGCTCAAATTTCTGAAGAACATTAGCTCATAAGACTGGTCGTTTACATTCTCAAACTGGTGTTCCCACGGATTTCCTCTGAGAGTTGAGAGAAGAGCTGAATTGCTATTAGCAGTTGAATTGGTGTTAGTAATTCCGGTGTTCTCATTTTTTGGCACCACTATGGTTGTCTACCGCACAGGGGAGTGCCATACTTTGCTTTTCCTTATCAACAGAACCCCAGCTTGTGGAGGCTATGCATCTCAGGGTGGCAGAAATCCTCCTCAGTTTTAATGGACTGAATCTGACTTGCTATCAGCCAAGCATGATCACGCTGGGCTATTGGCATGACTGGTTGAAAACTGGAAATATCTTGTGACTGTAGTCAGAGGTGAAGCAAGGAAGCTTCCCGTTAATCTTAAGAGGCGACAGAAGGATGAGATGCTTTCTCTGCTGAAATCTGGGTGATACACTTGGATCTGTAACTATCCTGTAACCATTACATGACAAACCTGAAAACAAAAGCCAAAGTGGTATAGTTTCAAAGAGAAAAGGTGGAAAACATCAAGTCCTTGAGGATACTGTGGAGCCATTTAATGAATCCACCCTTTCTCTGGACTTCCTGCTTCATGACGTTAAACAAACAGCCCAAACAGGTTTCTTTATGGTGTTATGCCTTGCCTTCCTGGCCTCAAAGAGCCTGTGACTGATTCAACAGCTAATAATCTACAGCTAAGAAAGTACACATTTAAGAGGATTTATTTATTTGTATTGTGAAGGCAGACCAACAGAAAGGAGACAGAGAAAAAAGTCTTCCATCCACTGGTTCATTCCCTAGATGGCTGCAAATGGCTGGAGTTGAGCTGATCCGAAGCCAGGAGCCAAAAGCCCCTCTGGGTCTCTCATGTGGATGGATGCAGGGTTGCAAAGCTCCAGGCCATCCTCCACCACTTAGTTAAGTAGGAAGCTGGATGGAAAGTAGAGTAGGCAGGACACAAACACGTGCCTATATGAGATCCTGGTGTTTGCAAGGGAAGAATTGACCAATTGAGCCATTGCAATGAGCTCAGAAGGTACATATTAATGTGAGATTTTCAGCATTCAAGGCTCAAATAATATATGTCATCAATATTTATATGCAGAATATCATATGTGAAGTTCATCACATTTCACTTGTTTCCTATATTTGTAAATCTTGAATGATTGAAAGAAGATACTATAAATGGCATTTTAGGGCAAAAGTAAGAACAAGGTACTGCCTAATGATAAGAGCCACAACAAAGACACTTTTCACCTTGTCTGGAGGGGACTGACAAAGCCACAAAATCTGTCCAATCATTAACCATTCCATTCCAATAGTTTCCTTCCAACACAATTAACACAGGGTTCTGGTTCATGAGGCCAAATATACACTTCACTACCTACTGGTGTCCTTAAGCTACAGGTGAAGAAATCTTTTTTTTTTTTTTTAAAGATTTATTTTATTTTTATTGGAAAGGCGGATATACAGAGAGAAGAGACAGAGAGGAAGATCTTCTGTCCGATGATTCACTCCCCAAGTGAGCACAACGGCCGATGCTATGCCGATCCGAAGCCAGGAGCCAGGAACTTCTTCCAGGTCTCTCACGCGGGTGCAGGGTCCCAAAGCTTTTGGGCCATCCTGGACTGCTTTCCCAGGCCACTAGCAGGGAGCTAGATGGGAAGCAGGGCCGCCAGTATTAGAACCGGCGCCCTTATGGGATCCCGGGTGTGCAAGGTGAGGACCTTAAACACTGCGCCATTGCAACGGGCCCTACAGGTGAAGAAATCTTCAGGCACCCAAGGCATCCTCCACAAATGAAGACACCAACAAAACTACTTTGCAAGAGAAATAACTGTCCCTTCACTGTTTTAATTCTTTCTGACACAACATGGCAACACATATGAAAATAAACTTTTTTTTTATAAAGATTTATTTATTTATTGGAAAGTCAGATATACAGAGAGGAGAAGAGACAGAGAAGATCTTCCGTCAACTGCACCAAGCACCTCTATGCCTGTGAGAAAAGCTCCCATTCCCTAGAGAGGGACATAGTGGCATTCAGTGCATTTGAATTGTTTTTTGGTTAAGAAAGGATGAGTTGTTTTCGCAGAGTATGCTGCAGCAAGACATGGTACTTCTTCTTAGCAGGAACTTGACTGTTCCAATCACACACTTTGCTGTTGAGTTCAACATGGAGGTCCAGGAGTGGGCGTTTTCTGGAGGTAAGAAGAAGTGAAATGTTAATGCCACGATAATATCAATGAGAAGACAGAATGTCATGATGGTAAAAAAAAAAATGTAAGTGCTTTGGAACTGTTCCTTTTTAAACACTCTATAAGCTACTTTGTGAATGATTTAAACAGGCTGACATAGCTTTGGCTCAAGAGACGCAGTCCCTTTGCACAAAGGGCAGCTAAGTTTTACTCTGGGAATACACCATTCACATGACACCCCACCTGGATCATTATGGATATAAAAGGCCAATCCTAAAGGATCAGGTTGCTCCTCCTACAGCAACATCATTATTAGGCAGAATGAGGAGAAAAGACTATGAGATCCATTCATGGGGTTGTCACAACCACACCCAGAATGCATTTGATAAGTAGCTTGGAAACAACCAAATTATAATTAGGAGTCAATGGAAAAAAGCCAGTTAATCTTATAGTTGAGGTACACTGTGGCTTCCATTAGCTTAAATAAAAAACAGATCGCTGATGTTTCCCTTAGACAAGTATTCTTTAAGTTATATTAAAAATAGTTACAATGCAGACTCTTCATCCACTGGAAAATATAACTCAACAACCCCAGTGGTTGCTGAAACTACAGATGATGTCAATCCCTATATTGTGTGTATGTTTTTTCCTATATACTCATCTACCTCTATGACAAAGTTTAACTTACAAATTCGGCAGTATAAGAGATTAGCAACACAATTAACAATAGACTAGCAATAACAATATACTATGGTCAGCTTCATTTGAAATGTATAATTACTTATTTCTGGAATGTTTTCATTCCATATTCTCAAACTGAGGTTGACATTAGGTAAGTGAGACCTCACAGGAGGGATTACTGCAGAAACTCACATTCTTGGAGGCAGCCCTGTTGACTCAAGGAACTCTGCCTCCCACATGGGAGACCTGGGTTGAGTCTCCAGCTCTCAGCTTCAGCCCAGTGCCGTACAAGCTGTCACAGATACTTGGTGAGTGATTCTGCAGTATTCTCTCTCTCTTTCTGATTCTCTACCTCTCATATAATTTTTTAAAGTTTTTCATTTTGAAGAAAAATACTTAACTGATGAGCTACCACAAAATACTCATAGTTACACTGGCTCTGTATCCTATTCTTTAGGCAACTCCAATGCGGAAGAAAAATAAATCTCCTTTCCTCATTGAAGAAAAGAACATCCAACCCAGCATGGTGGGGTAAATGGTTCAAGCAGGGCAAAGATCAGGCAAAGCCCAGCCACCTCCACTGGGCTCACCTTTCTTGTCCCAACTTCTGGGAGAGGACCTGCAAGTATAGGGAAGGTGAGCTGGGCACCTGCTCCAGCAGGGACACATCCGCCGTGCACAGGCTCCAGAAGAAGTCGGCTTCACGGTGAATGGTGGAGGGTCCCAGGTGTGGCATCTTGGGTTCGGAAGTTTTCACAGCCGGTCCATCCACCTCCAGCAGGCTCTCTGACACCACATAGTTCTGGAGGAAGAAAAGCTTAGGCTTCCCTACGAGATAAGGGCACGAGTCCCCCATGAACATCTTCCGGATGTTGTGCAAGGGAAAGCCCGATTCAAACTTGTCCACACCGAATACACTCTGGGCACTTCCTCGGCTCACTAGGATACACACAAAGCTGTCATAGTCTTGATGCTTGGGTTCCCTGGCAGCTTTGTCAAGTTCGCTGATGATGTCACACATACGGAGATACTTGAAGGGCTGCACTTTAAAGCCCAGAGAAGTGAAGGTGTTTTGAAGACCCTCTGGAGGAAACAAACAGGGAGAACAATGCTGGAGTGAGCAAAGCATGAAGGGAAGTGTATCACATCTATGTGACGTTAACACTGCTCTCCCCAGTTTTAGGCAGCAGTGGTAACAGCCACCTCACAAGACATTATAAGGAGTGGGCAGCACAAATAAAGCCATACTTTGGAGTGTTACGCACACATCATTGGAACAACAATCCGCCAAGTAGGATTTCAGACCTCTCCTGGCAATGAAGACAATGACAATCACTGTAATCTAAGTCCATAGTTACACGATGTCCTTTTCCCCTTTGCCTGGCCCAAAGTGGATAGTTTAACAATGGAATTATTGACCATCTAATATTGAAGAGGTACAAAGAAGAAGCTAGCATCCTTACACCTGTTTTCAGTCATCATTATCAAGGCATTGGGAGACTTGACTGACAGGCTGCTAATAACCTATTCAATGACATTCTTTCCCTCAAAAAATATCCACGGGACAGAAAAGGCCTGGCTGTGTTATCTCCCAGCCACCGCCTCTGATGGCTCAGGTGGTTACAGGTCAGAACAAGGAGAGAATCTCTGCCAGTCCCATCAATACTTCCTTGCAGACTCACACACCTCAGAGCATACAAATCCTCTCCTCTAGGGGGCGGAAGCAAACAGGGAAACATCGCACTCTACTTGGTCTCCACTGGTTCACTTCTCCAAGCTCTCCCTTTGCTGATCTTTCCTCCCTGACCAAAGTCCTTGAAGCAAAGCATCACCAGGGTCTCTCTCCATTTCTGTGACCATGTATAGAGATGGACAAAACAAGCGTGTTCCAGGCCTCTGCCTCTTTGCTTTATCTGGGCTCCTTGGGGCCCTGGCTAGACACAGTGAGTAGAGGGCCAAAGGAACCAATCTGAGATCAACTCCATCTGAGTTTAAATCTTGCCTGCTCCCTTCTCTGAGGGCTGAACTTGCCTTTGAAGGTTGACCTCCACAACCAGACAGACTAAACTGGGGACAGGATTCCCAGGTGCCAGGAGGAAAATCTTTACCTAACAGAACAGGAGTGGGGGAGAAAGAAGACTAAAACTAGAAGCAGGGCCCGGCAGCGTGGCCTCGCCTTGAACAACCCAGGATCCCATATGGGCACCGGTTCTAATCCCGGCAGCTCCCTTCCCATCCAGCTCCCTGCTTGTAGCCTGGGAAAGCAGTCGAGGATGGCCCAAAGCTTTGGGACCCTGCACCTGTGTGGGAATGCCCGGGAGAAGTTCCTGGATCCTGGCTTCGGATCGGCATAGGATCGGCTGTTGCACTCACTTGGGGAGTGAATCATCGGACGGAAGATCTTCCTCTCTGTCTCTTCTCCTCTTTTCTGTATATCTGGCTTTCTAATAAATAAATAAATCTTAAAAAAAAAAAAACTGGAAGCAAAACCAAAAACCATGAATGACAATGACTGTGACCCAAATAAGGAAAGAAAAACCTGGGTGCTGAGTAGGGAAAGTAAAACTTGACACTGCAGAAATCCCACTTCTCCTTCTACCCACCCTGGAAATCCCTTTCTTAATTCATCCTCATTTCCGTGAGTTTCAACTGCCCTTGAGAAAATAATTTTGTGATGTAGTGAGGGAGAGGGACCATCAGGTCTAGTGGCCAGTACAGGGCTGTGACAGAGAGGTCAGGGCCAGCACTACTCAAAGGTTTGGGGACTTTGGAGGTCAAACCTCAAAGCAAAGTACAGTCAGGGACTGCAGTGGGCTCATGTATCTTGGTCTAAATGAGGGCACATTTATCTTGACACTTTCTATTAAAGTCAGAGTGTGGGATAAATGAGAAACGGAGAATGCTACTCTGCTTTACTTATGAGTATCCTCAGTGAGCCCAGGTAGAATCACCACCAAGCACATAAGCAGAACACAAGAAGGGCATGGTGGTTTCCATGGTTACAGGGACAGGAATGAATGGGAAATGTCAGGCTGACAGGCTGAAATGGATTTCTTCACAGGAAAATAACTCAATAAACACTGCAATCTCCAAGAGAGGAACAAGTCACGCAGTCTTGGTCAAGTTTACTTGGCTTCAAAACTCATGTTAGGCTCACAATTATAAGCTACTTTATATATGTCTTTAAAAAAAGTGATTGGGGCCCGGCGCAGTGGCGCAAGTGGTTAAAGGTCCTCGCCTTGCACCCCCGGGATCCCATATGGGCGCCGGTTCTAATCCCGGCAGCCCCGCTTCCCTTCCAGCTCCCTGCCTGTGGCCTGGGAAAGCAGTCGAGGACGGCCCAAAGCTTTGGGAACCTGCACCCGCATGGGAGACCCGGAAGAGGCTCCTGGCTTCGGATCGGCATAGTATCGGCCGTTGCGCTCACTTGGGGAGTGAATCATCGGACGGAAGATCTTCCTCTCTGTCTCTCCTCTCTGTATATCTGCCTTTCCAATGAAAAATAATAAAAATAAATGTTTAAAAAAAAAGTGATTGACTGATTGATTGATTTTACTGGAAAGACAGATTTACAGAGAGAAGGAGAGAAAGAAAAATCTTCCATCCTCTGGTTCACGCCCCAAGTGGCTGCAATGGCCAGAACTGAAGCAATCCAAACTCAGAAACTGGAAACTTCCTCCATGTCTCCCACGTGCGCGCAGGGTCCCAAGACCTTGCGCCATTCTCTACTGCTTTCCCAGGCCACGAGCAGGGAGCTGAATGGGAAGTGGAGCAGCTGGGACACAATAAGCACCTATATGGGATTTTAGTCAGTAGGCTATCACACCAGGTCCTATATGTCTTATTTTTTTAAATATTTATTTATTTGGAAAGCAGAATAACACAAAAATTGAAGGAGAGAGACAGAGAGAGAAATAGCTCCTATTCACAGGTTCATTCCCCAGATGGCCATGATGACCAGGGCTGACTCCAACCAAAATCAAGAGCCTAGAACCCTATGCAGGTCTCCCACGTGGAGGGCAGGGGATTGAGCACTTGGGCCATCCACTGCTGCCCTCCCACGTGTACCAGCAGGGAGACAGAAAGGAAGCAGACCAGGTAGGAGTTGACATCACAATGCCAGCCACTACATGACTTCTTTATTTTTTTTTAAAGATTTATTTTTATTACTTTTTATTTGAAAGGCAGATATACAGAGAGGAGAGACAGAGAGGAAGATCTTCCATCCGATGATTCACTCCCCAAGTGAGCGCAATGGCCGATACTATGCCGATCCGAAGCCAGGAGACTCTTCTGGGTCTCACACGCGGGTGCAGGGTCCCAAAGTTTTGGGCCGTCCTCGACTGCTTTCCCGGGCCACAGGCAGGGAGCTGGAAGGGAAGCGGGACTGCCGGGATAGAACCGGTGCCCATATGGGATCCCGGGTGTGCAAGGTGAGGACCTTAACTACTTGTGCCACCCCGCCGGGCCCCTACATAACTTCTTTGTAAAACACAAATCACTACTAGTAGTTTCTTTTGTATGAACCTTTTTTAAAAAAAAGATCTGTTTTATTTTTATTGGAAAGCCAGATATACAGAAAAGAGGAGAAAAGACAGAAAGGAAGATCTTCCAACCATTGACTCAATCCCCAAGCAACTGAAACAGCCAGAGCTGCGCCGATCCAAAGCCAGGACCCCGACTCTCTTCCGGGTCTCCCTCATGGGTGCAGGGTACCAAGGCTTTAGGTTGTCCTTAACTGTTTTCCCAGGCCACAGGCAGGGAGCTGGATGGGAAGCAGGGCTGCTGGAATTAGAACCAGCAGCCATATGAGATCCCGGCACTTGCAAGGCGAGGACTTTAGCCACTATTATTATCATTAATAAACATGTCAATTGCATGTCAAGAGAAGTTTCTGGGGGAGGGTGCTGTGGTATAGTAGGTTATCCAATGTCTGCAATGCCAGAATCCTACAGGAGTGCTGGTCTGAGTCCCAGCTGCTCCATTTTCAATCCAGCTACCTACTAAGGGACCTGGGAAGGCCACAGAAGACAATCTTGGACCCATGGAAAATCTGTGTGGAGTTCCTGGCTCCTGGCTTTCCAAGGCTGTTGCAGCCATTTGAGGAGTGAATCAGGGCCCGGTGGCGTCGTAGCCTAGCGGCTTAAGTCCTCGCCTTATGGGCGCCGGTTCTAACCCCAGCAGCTCCCTTCCCATCCAGCTCCCTGCTTGTGGCCTGGGAAAGCAGTCAAGGACAGCCCAAAGCCTTGGGACCCTGCACCCACGTGGGAGACCCAGAAGAAGTTCCTGGATCCTGGCTTCGGATTGGCATAGGATCGGCCGTTGCGCTCACTTGGGGAGTGAATCATTGGACAGAAGATCTTCCTCTCTGTCTCTCCTCCTCTCTGTATATCTGCCTTTCCAATAAATAAATAAAAATAAATCTTAAAAAAAAATAAATAGGGGGGAGAATCAAGATGGCGGAATAGGGTAAGGACACGTTTAAACAGACCGAGAAGCATTTAACCAGAATGAAGCAGAGAGGACATATTTCAGGAAATACGAAAGGACAGAACAACAGCAAAGGGGTACCTGGAGACTGACAGACACAGGAAAGCAGTGGGCACAGCAGTGTGGTGTTGCAGTGAATGATCTAAACTCCATCAGCAGCCGGAACTCCATCAGCAACCAGGTGGGAAGGGACTTTGACTGGGAGCTTGGGAGGTGAACCCAGACAGGGAACAGTGTGTCCTGCTGGTCCGTTTGATTTGACCAGGAGCAGAGACAGAGCAGCAGGTCCCAGGTGGGCAGTGCGAGAACAGCAAGGATTTCATAGCCCAGTCAGCCCCCTAGAGCTGAATTGTTCGCCATTTTGCCTAAGGAGGAAAGGGCAAGGGAAAGGACTGAGCATGCTCTGAGAGGGAGTGTGCTCATTTCTGACTCGGTGAACTGCAACAACGAGGCATTCTACGGGTTCCATCCAGGGCAGGTCTGGGTAACCCTCAGATCTGTCAGCTAGCAGATCAAGAATTGTGGTAGCACGTCCGGCGCCATTTTGCGCACTGTGGCAAAAGCTTTGGGACTGCAGGGGCAACAGTGAACTG